ACGCGAGCCCCCCAAAAAAAAAACCCACCCAAAAAAAAAAAAAAAAAAAAAGAAATAAACTAGCATTTACTACTTTACAGAACAGAATTATTCTATGTACAAAATAAATTACAATCTTTCTCCCAAGACATTTACCTTAATATGAAATTCCAAATTTTCATCCATGGAGTAAATATAATTAAAAATATCTTGCACTATTCTTGGAATAATTCCCATGCCCTCTGGATCATGAAGTTTACCCTAAACAGAAAACAAAACTAGACTTCTGAAACAAATTAGGGCACATGAATTAAAAACGAAAATTTCAATCCACGGTTTACAGGCAATAGACAACAGAAACTCTAGTTGTTGTTATGTTTTGTGGAAATGGCTCTACAAATACCTAAAAATTCAATTCGACTGTTACCTAGAGTACTATATACCAATTATATGAGTCAACTGATCTCAGCTCTTTATTTACTCACTGGCTTTTGATTATCCATGACTGTAAAATAAACATATCCAAAAAGTGTGTTAGTTTTTCCATACATATAAATCCACATTGTTCCTTCTATTTCTGTCAAATTCACACAAATGCTAGGAATGTCCTCATTTTCTATGACTTTATGAAAATGAGTGATATAACTTACACTGAGGGAGTAATTTACTTTATATAGTATGCTCAGTTAAGTGATGAAACATACTTTCTATAGAGGCTGAAGATCACAGGCTGTTTTCTAGAAGCACAGCAAGAGCAGGTCCATATCTATTATTAATAGTAACATTGATAATTGAGGTGACATTCTTATCAAAAAAGAGTGACATATTATTGAGGGGGGAGATGTCAAAGAGAAGAGGGAAAAATTTGTAACTGACTAGAATCAACAATGAATCAAATTTTTTGCACATAACAGGGTGATCAAAATTACTGTGTAATTCTAATATGTTGTTTTTTGCTTATGGTAACCAATGAAACAAAGCTGTACATAATCTCGAATACAGAAATCTCTTACTATTCAAACTAAGGAAATGATTAGATTTCAACACTGAAGATACATATATATTAATGAGAAAAGGCAATGAAGAGAAAATAAAAATAATTAAGCACAGTAAATAACAGATAACAAATAAACGTACTGTCATTTGCAAATTACATCCAAGTACAGGTTATAAGATGTTACCTCCATTGTGTGTGTCTTCCCAGAAGATGTTTGTCCATATGCAAATATTGTTCCATTGTATCCCTCAAGTACATCTAAGAGAAAATAAGAGATTTCATACTTCAGGAGATTTTTCCTTAAGCAAGGTTCATAAGCAATTACTTAGGAATGTTATGGGAAATGTTGCATGTTCTTTTTCTTTTTAAAAAAGAATTATTTATTTATTTATTATTATTTTTTAATTTGACTAGAGAAAGAGAGAGAGAAAGAGGGAAAAAGCAAGCTGCCAGGTACAGAACTCAAACTGTGGTTGGCCATGTGGGAATCCAGCGCCTTTAACCACCACGCCACCTGCTGGCCCCATTGCGTAAGTTTTTCTTAGGGATGTATAAAACAATTGCCCCCCAAATTCATACACACACACACACCCATGTTCTTAATCCAAGCATAATCAAGTCTGTGTAATAAAATATTTGAGGGAAGCATGGTGAGAAAGATTCAGATCTTCTTTACACTACGGGGTCATCAGAAAAGTCATGACTCATTTTTGTATAGAATAGTATATTGTGACTTTTCAGACAACTCAGTAATACTGAGATAGCCCATCAAATTCAAAGTTCAGTACATAAAGGATCTACAAAGACATTAAAGGAAACAAACAAATATAAGCTAGCAATTTTCTTAGTGATGAACAATCTAAGCAATTACTTTCTCTTGAGCTCAGACTACTTTCTTTTTTTTGGAGAGGTTTTTGCTATAGGGCGCATGCATTTGCCAGGCAGACAGAGAGAGAGAGAGAGAGAGAGAGAGAGAGACAAAAAGCGAGAGATCATCCCCCATGGGGGATGGCCATGCCACAATCCCTTCTCCTCTATTTTCCTCTCGGGATCTTGGGCACACATGTACACGTGCCCGGTGTGAGTTTAAGCCACTGGGTCCGGGACTCGAACCGCAGTTGACTACATGGGAGTCCAGCGACATAGCCGTTATGCCATCTGCTGGTCCTGAGCTGAATTGGTTTTTAGAAACACGACTCCCAATTAGTGGTTAAATGTCACAAATCCATACAATCCTCTTTATCCCATCCACAGAGTATAACATGCTTAAAATCTCTACCTCCAAAATCTAATATCAGAAAGTCCCTATAAGAGAGATTTTTTCTAGCCCTCAGGGTACCCCAAGATCTGCCATTAACATTTTTCTTAGCTTATTCATGTATTTCTTCCATGAACAAGAGACAGTACCCTCAACATGTCATTAATATTGCTATCTATCCCCAGCTCCAGCCAGACCAAGATCACGGGCACATGGGTGCCCAGTGTATTCAGGAAGACCTCTCGCTGTGAACCCAGAACCCTCCCATGTGGGTCAACCTAGTAGGACATCACACTTTATCATTGTACCACCACCATCTGGCTCCTACCATTAACATTTATGTATTGGTCCAGCTTTGGCAGTGCAGTCAGTAGTGAACAGGAATGCAGCAAAGTGGGAAGCCACATGGCTGACCATAGGGTTTAGATCCCCACCTGGTCAATATGAAACACACTAGGGTGTATGCCCATGATCCTGATGAGCTGCAGGGCTATAGGAAGGGGATCATGGCTTTATAAGACCCTGTTAAGGGTACCTACCTCTCTTTCTTTCCTGTGTACATGCAACACACTATCGTGAATAAAGATAACTTTGAGGGACCAGGAGGTGACATGGTGGTTAAGGTGCTGGACTCCAACATGGCCAATTGCAGTCTGAGTCCCAGACCTGGCAACTTGATTTCTCACTTTCTGTCTATTTCTCTCTGGTAAGCACATGTGCACTATAGCAAATTAAAATAATAATAAATAATTCTAAAAAAAAATTGAAAAAAATTAAGTATCTTATTAGGTTGAAGAGAAAAAAAGGATATATGTGAATAAGAACATCACTTCTGGTCTCTAGTTTCCAGGGATTTTGTTTGTTGTTAGTTTTGATGACAAAAATGGTATATGGAATAATATTTTATCCCAGAGAAAGCCAAAGTAAAAAAAAGAGAAGCCTCTGTTAGAAGCTGCAAACGACTGGGACTAGCAGATGGCGTAATGGTTACGTCACTGAACCACCTGTAGTAGACTGTGGTTCAAGTTCTGGACCTGGTGGCTTAAAACTTACACCAGGTATGTGCATGTGCCCAAAATCCTGAGAAGAGAAAGAATTGTGATGCAGCCATCCCCTGGGGGGTGATTTCTCTCTTTCTGTCTTTCCGTTTCTGTCTCTCTGGTGAGTGCACACACTCTACAGCACAAATCTCTTCAAGAGAAAAAAAAAAACAACTAAACAGTAAGACAAGTAAAACAGTAAGCAAATCAATCCTGTTTATTTTAAAAAGAAAAAAGAAAAAGAAAAAAAAAAAACATTGGGCACAAGAAATCTAGGTAACCGATTTCCTATAGAAATACTTATGAGAAAAAGAAGGGACCAGAGTATTTACTTCCCTGGGAAGGTTTTTTTAAAATTTTAAGAGAATCTAATGTTTGAAACTTTCATTTAAAAAATCTTCTTTTTTTTTTTTTTTGAGAAAGATTTTTGCTATAGGGTGTGTGCACACACCAGAGAGACGAGAGACGGAGAGACAGAAAACGAGAAATCACCCACTGAGGGGATGGCCATGCCCCAATCCCTTCTCCTCCATTCTCCTCTCAGGATTTTGGGTATGTACACACACGCACCAAGCATGAATTTTAAGCCACTGGGTGCAGGACCAAACCATGGTCGACTATGAGGTCGACCAAACCAGGTCGATTATGCTACTTACTGGTTCTGACCTTTTTTTTAAAAAAAGGTTTTTGCCATTAAGGCCTGTGTGCTTACTGTCGAAAGACATAGCGGAAAAGTAAGCAATTACTCCCACTAGGGGAATGGCCACACTGCAGCCCCCCTCTCTCTCAGTGCACAGTTGGCCATGTGGTGATCCAGTGCCTTAACCATACCACCTGCTGGCCCCTGTCAATTCAGTTTTATGCTTTCCTCACCAGCTTGCAAACCTGACTCCTAGCACAGTGCCTGGTCCTTTGTAGAAACTCAAATACTTGTTTAATGATTACTACTATCATTAATACCACAGCGTCTAAAGTCTCCCCCCCTGCCTTTTTAAAATTACCAGAGGGCATGTGTGATCTCAAGTGCTTGCACCCCGGAGTAGGGGAGGAGAGGGAGTACAGCCTTCCAATGGGCATGGTCACAGTGCAATCCCATCCATCATTTTTCTATCCTGTCGGGATTTTGAGCATGCACATGAATGCACCAAGAGAGTTTTTCAAGATGCTGGTGCTGAGGTTCAAACAAAGGTCAGTCATTCGGGATATGCCTCTCTTAACTACTAGGCTATGGGGTAGGTCCTCT